GTAGAAGCGGCCTCAGGGCGAGCGCGCACACACACACACACACACACTCCCCTCACTTCAATCGGCCGGTAGAAGCGGCCTCGCGGCGAGGGGAGTATGTGTGTGCGCTCGCCCCGAGGCCGCTTCTACCGGCCGATCAAAGTGGCTGGTGACTGCACTTGGGGAGCTTCCATCGCCTGAAAGAGACTGCCTAAAGGCGAGGGGACATGGGCAGCCACGCCACGCCCTGAAGCGGCTGGGGACTCTGCCTTTGGGGAGCTTCTATCGGCTGATGTTCTATCGGTAGATCGGGGTATTCTAGCCTAGTCTACCTGCAGGGCACTCCTAAAGGCAAGTTTTCTCCTCATACCCACCTCCGCCCTTCCCCCCCATTTCTCTTCACCTCGTGTAGTTCTAACGAACGATGTGAGAAATGGCGAGGAAATGCATGGTTTAAATAGGCCTAAATTTTGGGGGTGGGGCTTAATTTCACCTCATGCCTAGAAATCATGCTGGGCCTTCCTATTGGTGGAGGCCGTATTGTTGGAGAAACACGGTATCTTTTTTTGAGAATAGCATGTTCCCGAGTTATCACTTCTCCATACAAACACAAATTCAATTTCATATTCATCTTTGTGTTCTATTCCATATCTTATTACTATTTTAACATTTTCTCAATATTTTTCCCTTCCCTTAGTTTTCTCAACCTTGCTTTTAATTATCTCATTCTTTTCTAAGTTCAATTATATATCTTTTTCTAAGTTTCAATATCTTTCTAATCATTATATTTATACTTTTGTCTGTCCTGTTTCAATTTCATATTTTCTTTTTTCATTAAACAAAATTTTCCTCTGTAGTTACTGATTGGAGTATGACACCTTTGTATCTTTTAATTTTTGTCCATTCAACTCTTATTTAAACTTCAATTTATGCCTTTACAATTATAACATTCAATATAACACATAACTTCCAGTCGAATTCTGCTTGGTACATTCTTAAAATACACACTAAGTTCTTAAGAGAAAGTATATATATAACAATAGTAAATAAAATACTTATTCTATTCCAATTCAGCTCTATCATTAATGTTAGTTATAATCTTTAACATCTTTAACATTTCTTTTCAATGGGATATTATACTTCCTTAAGAACACTTATAATATTTCCATATTTTTTCATATTTCTTTCATCTTCCTCTTCACTTAATTTTTTTATAACTCATTAATAATAATTGAAATGTTCCCATCCTTTCCTAATTTCATTCTCTCATTCTCTTTATTTCATTTATTTATTAACAAACATTCCATTAGATTACAATGAGTATTTTATCTATCACTTTAACCACACTTATTTCATATTTTCTAAATTCATTTCTATTTCTAATATAACAATACTATCTTATGTACCCTTGCAGAATCCCTCTTTCAATTAAATTTTCAGCCATTATCGCTATGTCTTCTAAATAGGCTTATACCTTTAATCCTTATACGTTTTCCCTGTTTCTCTATATTCTGTTTCTGTCCTTTATAGCTTCTTTTCCTTTCCCTCTTCCCATTCTTCTTCTCCCTCCCCTTTTTGACCCCTTGTCTCTCTAATTCTAATTTTCTCTTCTGTAATCCTCTCTTCTGTTTCTTCCTAATATTGTAATTACTTTTCAAACTATTCTTTTTTTTTGGTTGTTTTTTCAGATCTTAAATTTTTCACTCTTTCCCCCCTTTCCTTCTTTTCTCCACATAGAATTACTTGGTCATTGAAGATGGCTTCTTCTTTGTCCCGCCCTTCTTGTTCTACAGGCATTTCTTGTTGTTTCTCATAGTTCAGGATCTCCATTTCTAAAAATTGAAATACGAAGCCAAAAAAACCTCTTCCTTCTTGTGCATCTTCTTTCTGTTTTTTAAGTTCTGTTTTCAGTTCTTCCAAGAGTAATACCATTTTCAAAACTTTTAAGCAACCACTCGATTGATTTTAATCCTTTAAATCCAATAACCAAAAATCCCAAAATCACCAAGCAATCCAAATAATCCAAAGCTGTTTCTTCTTGCTTCTTTTTTCCACTTTCTCTTCCTGGGGTTCTATTATCTTGTTACAAAGTTTCAGTTAGAATGTATCTTTTAGGAATCTTGTTAAAATTTCACTGTTAATTCCTTTTACTTCCAGGTGGTCTCCTCCATTTTTCCAGATCCCACCCTTTTGTTTTTCCTTTTCTCTCCTTTCCTTCTTTTAAAAATTTTTGAAAGTCAAAAAGTCTTTATTATCCCTTTGACATTTTATTTTCAGCTTAAATGCCTGTTAATGTCAAAGTGGTTTTTTGTCAGTTTCTTACTTAAATCTCTTAGTTGTCAATATGGAGAAAGAAAGAAAAGAAACCAAATCCTTTCCCTTCCCTCTCTCATTCACCGCTTCAAAATCTTCTTTGGGAACAATGTTATTCTTCATAGTTCAAATTCCAGGGTACTTTATGTTGTTGCTTTTTCAGTTCGATCCGGTCAGCCAAAACTTTCTCTTCTTATCTTCTTCCTGCACATTCTTTTCCGGTTGAGTTCTTCTTTGAGGTGGCCATTTCTGACCACCATTGCAACTGCCTTTGGGAAAGGGAGTAATGGCCAGCTGGGGAGGAGAGATGTGGCTCTCCTCAACCCTGCTGGCAGCCTCCCCCCTCTTCACCACGTCTACGGGGTGGCTTAGCCCCGAATCCAGCCAGCTCGGGGCACTCCGGTGGCGAGCATGGATTGAAACTGCACATGATCACGGATTTCGGTCTATCGCTGAAGAAGCTCAAACCGGAAGTCTCCACTGGCCCTACTTTCTGAAGTTAATAGGATTGGAATCTAACAATATTTGGAAATCCAGAGGTGCTCAGTTCTGTTATGAATATAAATATAAATACCTCAACGATCAATAAGAAATCATATTGTTGTATATTTTATTCATGTATTTATTGTATTTATATGCTGCCCATCTTCCCCTCTTGGAAATGGGGAGTTGTGGTTGTGCTAGACTGTTTAATTTATATTGTGAATGCATGCACCACTATTTATATGCTTTCAAATGCTCAAACAACTTGTGTTGCAAACAAAGAAACAACTACTGCTTCAAAAGAGAACAAGTAAGCCAAAGATTTCTGGCCACACAGAGGCCAATGTGGACATGAATAATCTTGGCCCCTTGAAGAAAATCTAGGCAAGATGACAACATCTGTAGCTGGCTCCCAAGAATAGACACTAAGGCAGAGTCCATTGCTTCATCATGAATCAAACTTACCACATGGTTTAATGGCACAGTAATCAAATTGAGTGTTAGGATCCATAGTGTAGCACCAGGGCCCATGACTGTCATTGTCAGGGTTACGACAATAGTTCTGTTCAAGGCGCACATTAGGTAGTAAGGGGAAGAAGTGCCTAGGAAAATTCAAAAAGACTGTTCAGTATTGTGTCATTTTTTCTGTTTCGTACTTAGGAGATTACTGTGTTTTTTTTAATAAAAGTTACATATAGTTGTCAACGTGTTCTTATGGATGATTCAGACACTTGAAAGCATTTCCATCAACAGATACTAATTTTTCCCTAAAATTCATCTTTGACTTCTGAAAAAATGCAGTTTTTCTTCAGGGATTTCAGTATATTCGCTCTTATCTATTTGCACACTTCTGACAAGCACATGTCAATGTGACATCTACCTGCTGCGGCTCTTCTCTATTTATATATAAATTGTACTTGTTCACTGCATTGTCTCTGTCAAACTCAACTAACTTGATCTTTGATAATTGAATGGAGGGAGTATTTTAGAGCTTTGAATAAGAACTACAATGTTGTGAGAATGTTTAAAAATGATAAGGCTGCAGTTGGGAGACAGAATGATGGAGACATCTTAAAATACAGATCTGCTTGCAGAGTGGATGTACAATTTGTTGAATGTGTGAAGGTTGTATCTGTCTGACAACTGGGAAAAGGCTGTTACTGTTTCCTAATCAAAGGCAAAGATAACAAGAATAAATCAAACATTACAGGGAACTTTGAGCATAAGAGAACCTGAGAAGGAGTTTGCAGGATTCTGATACAAGGACATAAAGAATGAGTGATATTTGGTCTTTAAATGATCCAATTACCTTTTCTGTTCTCGCTTGTCCCTTTCTTAATCATCGATTCACGTCATTCAACAAATGTTCTTCCTTGGATGGATAGCCATCACCTTTGTGGGAAGAGCTGCAATGGACTATGAACACAGGGCATTTCTCTTTTTATGGCCTTGCCCACCTCCTTCAACCAAAAGAGAAGGTGGTTTCTATTTCCCAAAGCAGCCATATAATAGAGAAATACTATTCTAGAACTCTTTTTTTCCAGTAAGCTTTATGAACTCACCAATTTTCCATCATTCCAGAACTTAAGAAAGGGCCCTATCTGTATAGCAAGTAATCAGCCACCATTTTTCTCCTTGTCTTCCACTGAGATATTCCCCCACCACCACCACTGAAAATATTGTTTTTGTTAGGTCCATTTTTTATACTTTCATCATTCATGGAAGTATATTCCATGTTATTATTAACATTTTATTTTTCAAAAACTTGGCATGGTTCCTAATGACACATTTAAGATCCTGTCAATCTTGCCCTCAGAAAACAGTGAATAGGTTGGGTGAGCTCAGGCCATGAGAGGTGAGATGCTTTCTCACAGAATCAAGCCAAATAGCTGCCATCTGAGCATTTTTCATGAAGTCTAGGTGCTAATAGGGTTAACTCTTTCTCCCTGTTATGACCAAGACTTAACGAGGGAAGGGGAAACAGCATACTGATAAATTTCCCACCATTCATACACTTACTGGAGTGTGTGAGGGGTTTTCTCCTTCCATTTCTGGCAGGTAATTCCTTTCCGGGTCTTACTAACTGTGCCTTGGTAATCTTCCCCATTTCCATGGTAACAGTCTGTGGAAATCAAAGACTCACCTGAGTTCATTTGCCTGTCTTGGTACACACATTATGTACAAATATTTGAGTTTCAAACATTATGCTTTCCAACCACCAAGGGATTATGCTCTCCTGGAAGATCTAGAGAGCAACAGTTTACCAATCTCTGTTCAATAACTAATAAGACTCTTCGAGAACCCAAGACTTGCTACAAGGGGTAACCTTGAGGGGGAAACATCACAGTGACTACAGAAAATTGGATTAGAGATGGGCTGAAAGAGGGAACAGAAAATCAAGAGCTGGGATGGAAAAATAGAAGCACTCAGTATTTTGCCCTTTGATCTGCATCATCATCATGGTGACTTATAGAATACTAATAGTCACTCAAATGATACGCAGGTAGAACTCTGCTGCTTCTTTTCTCGCGCCATGAGAATAAACACTTCAAACATTATGAATAATACAGCCCAGACTCCTGTGAGAAGAGTCTCTGGGGAAAAAAACTCTTTCTAGATCCCAACTTGGGGCCACCATTCTTACCTTCTGCCTCCACATCCTCAGCACAGCGCTTGATCTGGAAACAGAAAGCTCTAGGCAGGCTGGTCATGGTAGTGAAGCACCAGGGAGCCTCTGAACCATCAGGATTCCGACAGTAATTCTCACTTAGGTCTCTACAAGGTAGAACCAAGGCAGAACCTCAGCATTCTTCTGAAGATGTACCCAATGCTTCTAGCAGGCCTCCAATATAAACTCTGTTGCAGTTTCCAAGACTGAGCACTCTGGAAGATACTTCAGGGTTAATTGGTCCACAATTAACTGTCATAAGATTTGTTTTTTTAGACTTACACAGTCCCAGACTTACACAGACCTGTGGTTAGTGAAGTTCTGTAATCATCCAAGTTAGTTTACTACATAGGCTTTCAGTCAGATTCTGAGCTTCATCAATAGATTGTCTTAACTTTGAAATCTCTAAATGATTTGTAACTGGAGAACCCAAGACACTGTCCTTTCTAGGTAAAATGCTTTGCTATTGTCACCAGAGACCTGACCTGGAATACATCTGTCCTCAGAGAGAAAACCAGTGACATCTGGAATCAAGGTTTCTTCAAAGCTGGACAATCTTTATGGGTAAGCTATCCTGCCTGTCCTCCTGCCTTGCTTTCAGACTTGAGAATGAGGCCTTGGAGCAAGTATACCTATCAAGAAACCTGCCAGGCACTTTCCAAGTTTCCAAAGAAAAGAAGACAGCTTCCATATTAGTTCCTTTGCTTAGTGGGCATCAGCAAAGCCAGAGGAGAAATCGTTCAACTTGCTGATGGGGAGTGAATTGGATACAGCAGAGACAGGTTTAGGGCAAGCAATGGGGGTCACAAATGATACAACTGGCACTGTTTGGGGCCAAGGTAAAATTTGTGAATAATGTTCCACTCACTCATGAGAAAAGGCTTAGAGTGAGGCACTGCAGGCAATCTGGCCACCATCTGTGATGCTACAGCACAAAGGCCTCACTATGAGGAAAGACAGAGAGAGTGATGGAGATGAGCACAGCAATCCATTCTCAATCCTGTTGGACTTCTGCACTAAAAATACAGAGAATGAAATGTAGGCACTAACAGGCACAGATATTCAAGTGGAATTCCTAAATGAAGCCAACGCTCACAAGCAATTTTCATAGAACATTTTGTTGGAGAAAAGCCAAAGGGAGGGGTTAGTAAAGCATTTGGCTTCTTTTCCTTTTTCCCTTTTGAAGTGTAATAAGAATTTCCTTTCTTTGAATATATACTCCCTAAAGCATAGGATGCACGGTGTTTAAAGAGAATCGGTTCGGAGTCATTTTCTAAAGTTTTACTGTTTATCATGCTGTGCAAACCAAAACAAAAATAATGTCCCTTTTTCTTGGGCTGATATCTGTAAAATTACTCTGATGGAAAGGAAACAGCCTTCCTGTCTCTAGTGAAATAATAAAGTCAAACTAACTATGCCCAAGTGGCATCACTTGACTGATTGTCAATCCTGAAGCGAACCTGGCTGGGGCCGTTATTGAGACTTCAGGGTTACCACTAGATGGGAGAAGGAGGGAAATAGTCAAAATAAGAAGTTTTCCTGTGGGAATCAAGGTCATTTCAACAGGTGGCTGTGAGAGGAGGAGTGAAGTAACTAGGCAACTGGCCAGCACCTCAATTGGACCATGTGATTGATGACTTGGGGAAAGGGGGAAAACTTTCTCTTTTAATGAGGTGAAAACCGCGGGAACTTTCAGAATTGGTTTTCACCAGTTGTGCCAATATGATGTATCCAATAAAATTGTTCTTTGAGGAATCTACCTGCTTCGGAGCTCTGTCTTCTATGAGTGCATTACTTGGAACGCTGACGCTGATCTTCAAAAGAATAGAGCAAAGGTCCACCCATCACTAGCCCATTACTGGGCTGTAGCAGTGGTGGGATTCAAATTTTTTTACTACCGGTTCTGTGGGCGTGGCTTGATGGGCATGGCAGGGGAAGGATACTGTAAAATCTCCAGTCAGAGTTGGTATTTGCCAGTTCTCCAAACTAATTAAAATTTTCACTACCAGTTCTCCAGAACTGGTCAGAACCTGCTGAATACCACCTCTGGGCTGTAGGGTAGACCAAAAAAGAGGAAAAAAAACCCCCTACTTTTGTCTCAAACCAAAATGGATAATCTCATGTAGTGGGATGAAGCTCAAGTGGTGGGACTTTTTATGCCCAGGAGCAGGAGACCTTTTCAGAGGAAATGCTTCCACTCCCATTTCTACTTTGACTATATTTCTGGCAGAACAGCATCCCCAATGCATACTTGCATGGATATTTCTCAGGGTGGAAATTGTGTCGGTGTGGTGTCTGTGAGTCCCAGCGTTGGCAGGGGACGCCCGATGTAGTGACATTCACCTTGCCTCGATAGTCGTCTCCTTTCAGCCGGAAGCAGTTGGTTGTAGTAGGCAGGTGTGGACGTTTCTCTGCTTCCAAAAGGGAGAATCCACGGAAATCAAATCACAAAGTGTATCACAAATCCTTCATAGCATGAATGAAAAAAAGAATACCACGTTCATTCCTGAACTTACATCAAAGTGGCTGGAAAAGAATGTTTTGGGGATCCAATCTGGGTCGGTCACACTCTGCTAGACATGGGTTCCCAGAGGATGGGCTCCAGCACAGCTCCAAAAGCTCGGAAGACTAAACCTCTGGTCCCAGCGACCAACCCAGATTGGATCCTGCAACATTTTCCTGGGATAGTATATTCACCTTCACTTGTAAGAACGCTTTTACTTATTCAAGATTCAACATTTTAAAACTGTAAAATTTACATTCCAATTTTCATTAAGTGCAATCTACCATTACAAAATGGATGAAAGCGGTGTTTTCAACTTCAGCCTCTTTAAGATGCACGGACTTCAACTCCCAGAATTCCAGTGCTGGCTAGGCTGCTGAGGCTGACAAACACTGGATTAGACACTATTGAATCAGCCCCCCAAAAAACCCTGCATACATTGTTGAGCACATGATTCCCATCCACATTTTTTTTTCTAATTATCTGGCATCCTGCCTTATCTGCTTCTATTCTGCTGCTGTTATGCACATAAAAGGGTTACGGTTGAAATAAGCAAAGTCTGCTTCCTTTGGGATGGTCTTACAGTATTGTTTTCAGAGGCTCTGGAAAGTTTTGTACCTTTTGAGAGATAGATAACAGAGATTGGTGCTACTATTAGGCCCTCTATCCTTTTATCTCTAGCCTGTTGTTTATAGCTTTCTCTCTGTGTTTATGCCTGTCTTTTGTCCCATTAGCTAGTTAATTGAGTTTAGGTTGTTGTAGATGTTTTGATAAGTAAATTTTAAGCTATAGTGAACTGAGTTAGCGCATGAGCTTGCTCTGATCTGGATATAGGGACTGACTAGGATGCAAACTGAACCAGAAATTAATCACAGTAATTTAACCACCCTGAGGACTTTCACTCTGCATTTTACGTATTAAGAGACAGATTTTGTCCATCATAAAATAGTAGATAGTCATCTGAAGATTTTTCTTTCTTTGTTACATGTAGCTTTTGTAAATGTATTAAAATACCATTTGTCTCCACATAGTCTCAAATTCCCCAGTGCATCTGAAAATTAGATAATGACTAATCCCTTTGTGATATATTTCCAACTAAGAACTGGACCTCAGAAGGACTTACTGCATTTACGAATGTGACAGAATTCACGCTCCTTGGCCCGATCCACTGTATAACACCAAGGCTTCTCAGAACTGTCAGGATTACGGCAATAATTATCAGCAAGGTCTTTATCTGGGTATCTTTTTAAAAAAATAACAGAGAAAGGTAGAATTAAACAAAAACACTATTCTCAATATTGAAAACGGACATGATGTGCTTCATAATGTCAACATCAAAGGAAAAAACTGGTGGCTATAACTGTGGGGTTTGTTCATCATGTCCAATTGGAAGAAGGCTTGTAAGAGGCTAATAGGCGCATTGCAAGCTGCCTTGTCATTTATACCAAATGAGACCAGTAGTCAGTTTAGTTCAGCTTTACCCATCTTGACCATGGTTTTCAGGCAGAAATTTTATCATATGTGAAATGGAACAAACCGATCCTAATTTCACACACACACACACACACACACACACACATATTTGTTTCCGTAGATTTTCACGGGTACAGGTATGCAGGTCTTGGCGCGTTCGGGTCTTTTTCCATGTAAGATTGATTTTACACAGGAAAAGACCTGAACACACCAAGACCTGCATATATATATATATATATTCAGCTTTGTTCGGGTATTTTCCCATGTCATTATAGTTGTGCTTTTAAAGTTGTGGCAACGTTTCGGCAGAATCTCATCTGCCACCATCAGGCTTCTGTATTGTGTTTGTCTGTGAGTCAGACTTTCACAGCCGTTTCAGAATGTTTTTTTTCTTCATTCTGATTGGTTGGGCATCTTGGTCTGTGTTTATTGGTCTTTTTTCAATCTCTATGGCCTGAAAAGACCTGAAAGCATGAATAGAAGATATGACTCCACCAGACAGTCAATTATCTGGAAGCCTGCACTCTCAAACAAAAAAATCTCCATACCACAAGCTAGGCAAACACCTGGGCACAAACAGACTCCCCCTGATACCCTCCAGCTCAAACACACCCCAACCAGGCACCCAGATGAAACCTAGCTTCCTAATAAATGATAGCTGTCCTTTTACTGGGAGCCAAGCCGCACTAAAAGCCTCCAATACAAGAAACACAATGTTGCCAGCCAATCAAGACAAAAAAAGCCACAAAACAGACAGAAGATATTAGAAACACCAATCAAGCAGAACACAGCAAACTCCAAGACCAATAAACACAGACCAAGAC